GTTGCCAAGGAAGAGAAATCTGTACCATTACTACACCAATGATTATGGCTTGTAAATCATCAGTCCCTAATTCCCGGCCCTAATATGTCAGACATATCTTTAATTTCTGGCTTTGCCTGGTGATAGATCATTAATTTGACATTGTACCAGAATGTCTGTTGGCAGACAGGGTCAGACTGACAGCCTTAGTCATCGCTGTGCTGAATCCACACCCAATTTGTCCGTGCGATACCTTCCACACTTCCAGTTCTGCCATGGAGACGTCTGAGTTACCTGACTATCCAATCTCAAAAACAAATTAAATCTCTGACAATCTGAAAGTATGTACTAGCCATAATGACAACCATCTCTTTAATGGGAAAAGCCATGAGTCTCTTAAAGACCAGAACCATCTCTTCATGTAAATCCATGAAATCCTTGTGCAAACGTAAGTACTCTGAACCTCCTAGTGAGTCATGGGAACTATGAAACCAAGTCATAACCAAAAATCAAGATTGTGCCACTCTGCAAAATCAAGGTATCTTATAATAGGTTAGAACCCTACTTTGTCAAGAACTATGAATATCCCCTTCATGTCTTTGTCTAGAACCATGAACTGCCACATGTCATTGTCAAGAACCATGAATCACCTAGTGTCATACTGTCTAGAACCATGAACCGTCTCTGTCATTGTCCACAACGATGAACTGCCACATGTCATTGTCCACAATCATGAACCGACACATGTCATTGTCCACAACCATGAACTGCTACATGACATTGTCCACAACCATGAACTGCCACATGTCATTGTCTAGACCCATGAACCGCCTCATGTCATTGTCTAGAACCATGAACCGCCTCATGTCATTGTCCAGAACCATGAACTGCCACATGTCATTGTCCACAATCATGAACCGACACATGTCATTGTCCACAACCATGAACTGCTACATGACATGGTCCACAACCATGAACTGCCACATGTCATTGTCAACAACCATGAACTGCCACATGTCATTGTCTAGAACCATGAACTGACAAATGACATTGTCCACAACCATGAACTGCCACATGTCATTGTCTAGAACCATGAACTGCCAAATGACATTGTCCACAACCATGAACTGCCACATGTCATTGTCCACAACCATGAACTGCCACATGTCATTGTCTAGAGCCATGAACTGCCACATGTCATTGTCTAGAACCATGAACAGCCACATGTCATTGTCCACAAACATGAAATGCCACATGTCATTGTCCACAGCCATGAACTGCCACATGTCATTGTCTAGGACCATGAACTGCCACATGTCATTGTCTAGAACCATGAACCACCTCATGTCATTGTCTAGAACCATGAACCGCCACATGTCATTGTCTAGAACCATGAACCGCCTCATGTCATTGTCTAGAACCATGAACTACCACATGTCATTGTCCACAACCATGAACAGACTCATGTCATTGTCTAGAACCATGAACCGACACATGTCATTGTCTAGAACCATGAAACGCCTCATGTCATTGTCTAGAACCATGAACCGCCACATGTCATTGTCTAGAACCATGAACTGCCACATGTCATTGTCTAGAACCATAAACCGCCTCATGTCATTGTCTAGAACCATGAACCGCCTCATGTCATTGTCTAGAACCATGAACCCCCTCAAGCTTCGACCACCAGAATGGAGACTCAAACAATAGTTTCAGAATCAAACGCAAATGGAAGTTAGGATATTTGCAATTCACAACAATGACAGCATAAATATAGCACATTGAGAAGCAATAATAGGTTCTGTAAATCATAACAACGTCTGTAAGAGTGATGTAACCAGATCATCAATCATCATTAGTTTGTGAGATTCAACAGGAAACAAACCATGGGGTTGTTTGGTATTGTGGTTATATATATAGAGAGAGAGAAAACAAAGGGTCTCCTTTATCAGTTCTGACAAAAGTTTCATTATGGTTTTTTGTTACAGTTCTTCACAGAATTAATGAAACAGGTGTTTTTTAAACAAAATTCCAAAACATTCCATCAAACCAGATCTGGACTTAATATAGCCAGAGTTAATGAATGGAATATACTGCCATAATGCCTGTGTTTATGTTGGAATGTCAGTTTCTAAACACATTCTCCTCTGTAATAACTATCAAACAGGAGCAATTGTTCAGAAGGTATCAAGTGCAGTATTCTAAGGCATGTGACAGCACACAGCAGTTGGGGGGGGGGGGGGGGTTCTCCTCATTGAAATGTATATTTTATGAATAAAAGCAAACACTGATTATATTGTATATCAAAACTTAATCTGTTGAAAAGAAACAAAACGAAGCATCTTTGCTTTCACTCGTGACAAGAGTTTTCTAGTACTTGTATTCTCAGTGTTGATATTTCAGATTTAGTGGGAGCATATTTAGTGGGAGCAAGTATGGGTGACTACGTTTCCTACAATTCTGATCTGTCTCTGCAGGTCACTCTAATGATCTCTTGATTATAAGGATATTGACATTTGTTAATCTTATCTACATCAACTTGATCAGGTCAAAAATCAAACACCTTAGCTTATTAAGAGCACATTATGTAGCCTGTTAAATTGGTCACCCCCTGTTGTACCAGCCTAATGAGCGGTCTTGATATAAATGTAGACGTCAAATTAAGTGGGACTTTCACCTTGCTTTTGATCTTGAATTTGACCTCAAATAAACTTTGTTCAATCTGCCATGCAATACTTAACAAGCCATATAGAAACAACTACATAAACATTAGTTTAACAAACTTGATTACAATACCCTTGACAACCGAAAATGCTGCCTAGTAACCCCACAAATTCTAATTAAATTTTATACAACTCAATATCTCATTATCTGATTTGAAATCCACACTATGCTAGAGACCTTTCCTTTCAAAAGTAATTTTTTATCCTATAATTTAAAACTCCATAAATCGAAAGATAATTTGGAATTTGAAGAAGTTGAAAGTTTCATTTCCTGTGTGAGCGAGAGGTTGGAAGTGGGAGACTCCTACAGCAGTGTCGAGGGAATTAACCTGTCAGGCCCTGGGTGACAGGCCTTTTCAAATGGCTTTACTGCTGTCAAAGGAAATTGTCTCTCTCCATTTTAATTCCACAGCCGTCTATACAAATTAATTTTCATAACACACATCTGTTAGGGTGAAATTCCGTACAGCATCCCTTGTCTGCAGTTGTATGCCTTTTATGCAATCTTGTGATGATACGGAGCTTGAAATATCTGCTTTCATCAACGTCATCCATGTTAGACACAAAAAACATTCAACAGCATTAATAAGAGGTATTGGAATTTTTTAAGATTGTTTTTCCCCTTTTTATTGGATCTGATTTAATTTTCTTTAACATGCCTATTTCATTGGCAACACGGATATGTAATGCTAGATTAACCTGAAATGATTGCTTGAATCCAGAGGCAATATCTCAAAGTACTCCATCCTGGAGGTATTACATCATACAACAATATCATTGTTTACATGGGGACAGGGAAGCAGACAAGAACTTAACCTAGCATACAAACCAATATCTCCACACAATTATTACTTATTGATTTTGTAAAATTATACAACGACAAGCCATGCCACCAGCTGACAGGTTTGATTAGGTGTATTCGTATACTGTAATACCCTCAAGATGAACATCCTTCTTTCTCAAATCATTCCCAGTATAGACCTACTCAGTCAAATACTCCCCAGTCCGACATCTGTGACTTCTGACCCTTATCACCTCTGACCTTAAGCATAATCTTTTTAAGATGAACATCATTCTTTCCAGAATCATTTCCCTTATAGACCAACTTGGTAAAATATTCTCCAGTGGGACCTGTGACCTGTGACCCCTTACAACTTTGATCTCAAGTATAATCTCTTCAAAGTGAACGAACCAAATTATTTCCCTTTAAGATCGACTCTGTGATATACTCGCCAGTATCACATCTGACCTTTAATGTCATATTTTACTACTGTGTCCTCTTTTCTGTGACATCTGACCCCTAGCACCAGTGACCTTTAGTATAATTTATTACTAGTGTCCTCTTGTTTGTGACCTCTGACCCCTAGCACCAGTGACCTTTAGTATAATTTCTTACTACTGTGTCCTCTTTTTGTGACCTCTGACCCCTAGCACCAATGACCTTTAGTATAATTTCTTACTACTGTGTCCTCTTTTTGTGACCTCTGTCCCCTAGCACCAGTGACCATTAGTTTAAATTTCTTACTACTGTGTCCTCTTTAACATATACGAGTTGGTACAAAAAAATATTTAAAAAGTAACCTTCTGCCTTTGTCACCAATCTTAATTTCCCTTAACTTGCTGATTTAATCATTTGTTCTTGATTTTTTTGGGCATGAATTTGTTCATTAAAATAATGAAAATGTTTTTAATCTAGTCATCATAAAAATTAAAATCATGGCTTTTCTGAAGTCAGCTTTTAATTGTATAGAATTTTACTGAAAGGAAATGCTTTAAAGTTTGTAAAATCTTTGGGCAAGAAATAATTTTACAATGCATTAGCTGTTAAAATTTGATAACCCGCTAACATTTGAGTTTGCTTAAATAAGTACATTCATACTTTTTGTTGTTTTTTTCAAATTCTCAGTGTCATAGTTTTAAAATGGCTAATACCCTGATTGCATGTACATCTATTAAACTGGTTGAAATATGGATCAATAATATAAAATAAATTTTCATTTAGCTAACTGATTAAAAATTTTGTGGACAAACTTAATAGTCATTTTTTTATCACTTTTTTGTCCAGAGATCCAACTTTTGGTTGTCATACATTGAAGGTGGAGCATCAACAATCCTCCGGTAACACTCTTGACATTTTCAATATCATTGCTTTCAAAGGACATCAAATTGGCACAAATTGAGGACTGACAAACTTTTTTCCACTCGAAAAGGTATTATTTCCTGATTCTAGTGAAACCATAGAAAAAGCCAGACAGAAAATATTACTTGCTTTTGAATGTATACATAACAGACACATACCGGTGGGGGAGGCAGGTCGTCATCGTCTATAGACGACACAGTAACCTTGGTAGGGGGTGCCATTGCTGCCTGTGTTTTCTCTGTGCGCGCCTCTATCTTGTTTTCACTCAACTCTGGAGGAGGGGGAGGAAGTTCATCATCTGTAGAGGCTGGTGTTTTCTGAGGAAACAAAGAAATCAATTTCAGGGTGATGTTTTCTGTAGAACAGAATTGTAGAAGTATGTTGTAAAGTCTGTACAAGATGGTGTTTTCTGTCAAATCTGAACATAGAAGACTGGCACAAGTGCAGTGTTTTATGTCAGACTTAACTCTAACCTAGTCATTAGTCTACCACAAGATCCATGATCATAACCCCAACAACACTGTTACTATACATCATAACAACCTGTTGTTGAAACGTCATTTCCTGTTTCCATAAGAAACCTATACAAATCCAAATTCAAACTGATGGTTGATATCAGTTGTGACCGGTTTCATTTATGAAGAGTCAGATAAAAAGGTGACCAAATAAAGCTGTACTTGTGCCCCACAATGAAAATGGTTCCAAATGTCTTTCTAAATAGACAGTCAAACTAAAAATCCTGTAAATGCTTAATTTCTATCAAGATGTCATTATGCATCTTAAATGGTGATAATGTTCAATATCTAAGTGTATGTGAAGACCACCATTCCAACAATTCAGATCTGCATTACCTACATATATCCCAATATACCAATCCATTGTTTTTTTTATTATTTTGAAAATAGCGGAATGTAAAGGGGGGGAGGATTTAAGATTCAAATTCCAGACCTCTTTACTTCTGATCGTTAACTTAACCAGTACATTATCAAACTGAAAGATAAACAAATATCCGAAGTCTATACAACAAATCTCTCTAAAGTTGAACTTATCTTTCTATTTAACTTGTGCTATGGTACTGTTTCACATTGATTTACACAACACATGCCTGACAACTCAACATAAAACTTTTTTATATAACCAAGCTTTATGGATCAATCCAATGTTTTTCATTGTTTAATATTTTCAAGGGCCGAGAAGTAAATTCAAAACAATTTACAAAATATTTTCCACAGCAAGATATGAACCCTAGTTGTTTATCAAATTACATCTACAACAAGTCCAGACTCTGTAATCTAGCCACCACCTATGATCTGTTTTAGGTCAGACTGGCATTCTTTTTTGAAGAAAACGGTACAAAATAATTTAACTCTCACAATCTAGCCATTGTTCGCCGTGAGATTAACTTTATTCTAAATGCTCCAATGTAGAGCAAGTCCCACTTACAACCAGTCAGAAAATCACAAGCAAAATGATAGGAACTGGGTAGTTTATTTAATATTCCACACACCTAGCCTCTTCTCCAGACGATCTCAGGCAATTTCTCAGTCACCAACTTAAAATACTCTATGTGTCATACATGGAATGTCCTACTCTTTACTCAGGTCTGACAATGAACCTGTACCAGGAAATGTCCTACTCTTTACTCAGGTCTGACACTGAACCTGTACCAGAGCTATCTAGACAACTCTCACGAGCTAACAGTGCAAACAACCCAAAATAATATTGCACCCAAAAACAACCTCATTTCCATGGTTTCCTGAATCTGGGATTTCAATAACATAACTGATATAACAACACAGCTTCCTAGACCAATGTACGCTAAGTAATTAAATCCAGCCTAGCTTTATCATGACATGCAACAAACGTAATATGTATCTTGTGTCCCTTATATATCGGAGTAAGTCCCACATAATCACACAAAATCACGACACAAGTTACTTTATTGCCTGGTAATAAAAGGTTATTGAGCAGTTATTGATGGTTGAAATAACGTGGCCTCATCTCCTGGGATGACAGATAATACACTCCATGTCGACTGAGCCACACAGATCTGATACCACAGTACTGAAAACTGTTAGAAGGGAGACAACTCCTCATGGTCTCCTACAGTAACAATCCTATAACTACCATGTCGCTCCACTCCCACAACAGACACTATTCAAATTTTATGTATAAAATAACAAGGGATTATTTACCACAAAAACGTAATTTGTATCTCTTTAATTTCGGCTTTTCTAGACCTGATTTAGGTAAAGAGGGTTCTAGGATTAATGGAACAGTTATCTAACTGGTAATTTCGCTGTAAGGCAGGTTAATTAGTACCACTCCTTAAGCTGAGGTGGACTGGTATTCCATCACTTTTCACTGTTGTAGCCAAATAATTGCAGGGCATTTTACAGCTATTTAACTATACGCATATAAAGCTTGATCAGAAATAGCTAAAAAAAACATTGACACATGTATCAGTTACAATATGGGAAAATGACATATTTGTATAGTTTTTGTTTTCACCCTATTTCCTATTTTCGTTTATCGTCAGCAGTTGAGTCTTTCTAATTTAATTTTGGGGGAATTTTGGAGAAAAATCACAATTTGTAGTGAATAATTTTCTATAGCTTAAATTCCCAATTTGTCTTCTGTCTGAATTAGCTAATACTTTTAGTAATGCTAATCACCAACTTCTGTGTAAACACACTGTGGGGGAAATCTAGATGTATTTGCTGGGAATGAATCCAATGTTCCTGAAAACTGCAGGATAAAACCCTAGATTGTAGAGGTAAGAAGTTATATTCCTACCATCATTGATTCTGGCAATAAATGTTGAGAGATGTGCCTTGGGACTTCCTTTAGAGACAAGAACTGACAGACAATAACATATTGTTTTGCGATACAATACCTACATTGAACAGTTAAAAATAAACCCTTAACACAAATAAAATCAACATGACAAAAGTAGCTATTCCACAAGCTTAACTTATATAAAAGGATATAGCGAAGTATAGTAAAACATGTTTAGAACAACACGCTTACTTCAATTTCATGGGTATTGCAAAATTATTCTGTTTGTGTAATGGTGAGGACTTACATATTTGGTTGTGTGTTGGTGAGGACTTACATCTATCTTTGGTTGTGTGTTGGTGAGGACTTACAACTATCTTTGGTTGTGTGTTGGTGAGGACTTACATCTATCTTTGGTTGTGTGTTGGTGAGGACTTACATCTATCTTTGGTTGTGTGTTGGTGAGGACTTACATCTATCTTTGGTTGTGTGTTGGTGAGGACTTACATCTATCTTTGGTTGTGTGTTGGTGAGGACTTACATCTATCTTTGGTTGTGTGTTGGTGAGGACTTACATCTATCTTTGGTTGTGTGTTGGTGAGGACTTACATCTATCTTTGGTTGTGTGTTGGTGAGGACTTACATCTATCTTTGGTTGTGTGTTGGTGAGGACTTACATCTATCTTTGGTTGTGTGTTGGTGAGGACTTACATCTATCTTTGGTTGTGTGTTGGTGAGGACTTACATCTATCTTTGGTTGTGTGTTGGTGAGGACTTACATCTATCTTTGGTTGTGTGTTGGTGAGGACTTACATCTATCTTTGGTTGTGTGTTGGTGAGGACTTACATCTATCTTTGGTTGTGTGTTGGTGAGGACTTACATCTATCTTTGGTTGTGTGTTGGTGAGGACTTACATCTATCTTTGGTTGTGTGTTGGTGAGGACTTACATCTATCTTTGGTTGTGTGTTGGTGAGGACTTACATCTATCTTTGGTTGTGTGTTGGTGAGGACTTACATCTATCTTTGGTTGTGTGTTGGTGAGGACTTACATCTATCTTTGGTTGTGTGTTGGTGAGGACTTACATCTATCTTTGGTTGTGTGTTGGTGAGGACTTACATCTATCTTTGGTTGTGTGTTGGTGAGGACTTACATCTATCTTTGGTTGTGTGTTGGTGAGGACTTACATCTATCTTTGGTTGTGTGTTGGTGAGGACTTACATCTATCTTTGGTTGTGTGTTGGTGAGGACTTACATCTATCTTTGGTTGTGTGTTGGTGAGGACTTACATCTATCTTTGGTTGTGTGTTGGTGAGGACTTACATCTATCTTTGGTTGTGTGTTGGTGAGGACTTACATCTATCTTTGGTTGTGTGTTGGTGAGGACTTACATCTATCTTTGGTTGTGTGTTGGTGAGGACTTACATCTATCTTTGGTTGTGTGTTGGTGAGGACTTACATCTATCTTTGGTTGTGTGTTGGTGAGGACTTACATCTATCTTTGGTTGTGTGTTGGTGAGGACTTACATCTATCTTTGGTTGTGTGTTGGTGAGGACTTACATCTATCTTTGGTTGTGTGTTGGTGAGGACTTACATCTATCTTTGGTTGTGTGTTGGTGAGGACTTACATCTATCTTTGGTTGTGTGTTGGTGAGGACTTACATCTATCTTTGGTTGTGTGTTGGTGAGGACTTACATCTATCTTTGGTTGTGTGTTGGTGAGGACTTACATCTATCTTTGGTTGTGTGTTGGTGAGGACTTACATCTATCTTTGGTTGTGTGTTGGTGAGGACTTACATCTATCTTTGGTTGTGTGTTGGTGAGGACTTACATCTATCTTTGGTTGTGTGTTGGTGAGGACTTACATCTATCTTTGGTTGTGTGTTGGTGAGGACTTACATCTATCTTTGGTTGTGTGTTGGTGAGGACTTACATCTATCTTTGGTTGTGTGTTGGTGAGGACTTACATCTATCTTTGGTTGTGTGTTGGTGAGGACTTACATCTATCTTTGGTTGTGTGTTGGTGAGGACTTACATCTATCTTTGGTTGTGTGTTGGTGAGGACTTACATCTATCTTTGGTTGTGTGTTGGTGAGGACTTACATCTATCTTTGGTTGTGTGTTGGTGAGGACTTACAACTATCTTTGGCTGTGTGTTAGTGAGGACTTACATACTTGGTTGTGTGTTGGTGAGGACTTGCATCTATCTTTGGCTGTGTGTTAGTGAGGACTTACATCTATCAATGGTTGTGTGTTGGTGAGGACTTACATCTATCTTTGGTTGTGTGTTGGTGAGGACTTACATCTATCTTTGGTTGTGTGTTAGTGAGGACTTACATCTATCTTTGTTTGTGTGTTAGTAAGGACTTACATCTATCTTTGGTTGTGTGTTATAGAGGACTTACATCTATCTTTGGTTGTGTGTTGGTGAGGACTCACATCTATCCTTGGTTGTGTGTTGGTGAGGAGGTTGTGTGTTAGTAAGGACTTACATCTATCTTTGGTTGTGTGTTAGTTAGGACTTCCATCTATATTTGGTTGTGTGTTGGTGAGGACTTACATCTATCTTTGGTTGTGTGTTAGTAAGGACTTCCATCTATATTTGGTCGTGTGTTATTGAGGACTTACATCTATCTTTGGTTGTGTGTTGGTGAGGAGGACTTACATCTATCTTTGGCTGTGTGTTGTAGAGGACTTACATCTATCTTTGGTTGTGTGTTGGTGAGGACTTACAACTATCTTTGGTTGTGTGTTATTGAGGACTTACATCTATCAATGGTTGTGTGTTGGTGAGGACTTACAACTATCTTTGGTTGTGTGTTATTGAGGACTTACATCTATCAATGGTTGTGTGTTGGTGAGGAGGACTTACATCTATCTTTGGTTGTGTGTTGGTGAGGACTTACATCTATCTTTGGTTGTGTGTTGGTGAGGACTTACATCTATCAATGGTCGTGTGTTATTGAGGACTTACATCTACCTTTGGTTGTGTGTTAGTGAGGACTTACATCTATCTTTGGTTGTGTGTTAGTGAGGACTTACATCTATCTTTGGTTGTGTGTTAGTGAGGACTTACATCTATCTTTGGTTGTGTGTTAGTGAGGACTTACATCTATCTTTGGTTGTGTGTTAGTGAGGACTTACATCTATCTTTGGTTGTGTGTTAGTGAGGACTTACATCTATCTTTGGTTGTGTGTTAGTGAGGACTTACATCTATCTTTGGTTGTGTGTTAGTGAGGACTTACATCTATCTTTGGTTGTGTGTTAGTGAGGACTTACATCTATCTTTGGTTGTGTGTTAGTGAGGACTTACATCTATCTTTGGTTGTGTGTTAGTGAGGACTTACATCTATCTTTGGTTGTGTGTTAGTGAGGACTTACATCTATCTTTGGTTGTGTGTTAGTGAGGACTTACATCTATCTTTGGTTGTGTGTTAGTGAGGACTTACATCTATCTTTGGTTGTGTGTTAGTGAGGACTTACATCTATCTTTGGTTGTGTGTTAGTGAGGACTTACATCTATCTTTGGTTGTGTGTTAGTGAGGACTTACATCTATCTTTGGTTGTGTGTTAGTGAGGACTTACATCTATCTTTGGTTGTGTGTTAGTGAGGACTTACATCTATCTTTGGTTGTGTGTTAGTGAGGACTTACATCTATCTTTGGTTGTGTGTTAGTGAGGACTTACATCTATCTTTGGCTGTGTGTTGGTGATTGGTGGTTCTTGTTCCCATTTGCTGGCTATGCGGAGTGTCTCCAATGTCTTCTGTTGTGTAGATTTACTGTCGTCTAAGAGTGTGCACTCATAAAACTCTTGAATATCTGTAAGACATAAAGCACATATAGAAACATTAGTTTATTACTAAGTCTACATCAGCTTTATAACCCACATTTTATTACCTATAGTTCTATACTTTAATTAACATCAGCATTGTAGTATACAAGATATACATAATAAACTCATGGCACCAAACCATGTTTTCTATGCATATAATTTTGATGTAGAATTTGTTTAACATTGTTTCTCGATATCACATTATAATATCATACATCCTCTAATATACATATATCATCATACATCCTCTAATATACATATATCACATTATATCATCATACATCCTCTAATATACATATATCACATTATATCATCATACATCCTCTAATATACATATATCACATTATATCATCATACATCCTCTAATATACATATATCACATTATATCATCATACATCCTCTAATATACATATATCACATTATATCATCATACATCCTCTAATATACATATATCACATTATATCATCATACATCCTCTAATATACATATATCACATTATATCATCATACATCCTCTAATATACATATATCACATTATATCATCATACATCCTCTAATATACATATATCACATTATATCATCATACATCCTCTAATATACATATATCACATTATATCATCATACATCCTCTAATATACATATATCACATTATATCATCATACATCCTCTAATATACATATATCACATTATATCATCATACATCCTCTAATATACATATATCACATTATATCATCATACATCCTCTAATATACATATATCACATTATATCATCATACATCCTCTAATATACATATATCACATTATATCATCATACATCCTCTAATATACATATATCACATTATATCATCATACATCCTCTAATATACATATATCACATTATATCATCATACATCCTCTAATATACATATATGTCGTATTTTAAATTATTGTGTCTTGGAGACAGTAAAAGTCACTCCAATGTCCACAAAGTTGAACCAAATATACTAAAAAGATTTTTATTTTTTCATTCCATTTCTTCATCCTTCCAGATTCTGAAGCCCAATCACCCTTCTCAAATAATGAGAGAATAAAAACAATGTAAGTGTGGGCTCACACAGATGTTCTCCCTATCCAAATTTTCCTTATAGAGGTGAGGTGTGTGACTGTCAAAAGCTAATCAGGTGTTTTTGTTATGTTACCATACTATGATGTAAATGTGAATTTCATTTGATGAGGTATTGATTGAGACATTTTTTCACTGCCATTTTACTTCAAAAGGTGTTAAGTTTGATCTTTGACATGTTTACTTTGACCAATGAACACCATAACCTAATTAGGTATAAAACTTGATGTAACAATACTATGGAGTCAAAGACACATATATACGCACACTTAATTAACGTAAGTCACTGATTTGTTCACGAACATCTTTCAGTCACTTTTTCTTTTTTTCTTCCCAAGAAATAATTATAGAATGTTTGCAAATTTGCACTGATCTGTAAAAGCAGCATCACTCTTGACCAACTTTGAATGTCACAGGAGTCAAACGTCTTAACATCTTCAAACAACTTCTCAATAACCGAAAGGCCTAAGGTACTGAAATTGGGCCTGTGGCATGCTGGGATAAAGAATAAAGCTGCAGCAGGACCTTGATTTGTCTGTTGAACTTCATGCAACCTAATGTTCATATTACTTCTTCTTAACTAGGAAGATTTATATACAGAATAATGCTTAACACCAATTTCCAAAAAAAATCAAATAGTGACTCTTCAAAAAGAACTAACGGAAACTTACAATCTTTTATCATTCAAGTTCTATAAATGATTCTTAATGATTCTGGACATATCACTGCTATGTAGCATTTCAAATTTAACCTTTTTTTTCTGCAGATTTGCATTCCTTAGTAACTTGAGTCCTTAACTGTTAAGGCTGAGCATCACAACGTAAAAGTGATCACCCATAGACAGGATCACTATCTCACAGTTACGGGACACTTCGTTCATAAATACGTAATCGGGGTACGGAAGTGCACTGTGATGGAGCAGGAACCGCCATTATGTATCACTAGAGGGCGCCCATCCCTGCCACGGTCAATATGCTTCAGCAATACTCTCCGACGGGAGTCAATGGAAAGGTTGAATAATTACATGTGCTGCCTAATGAAGACAAGACAGCATTGCCACAAATTGATTCTGAGGCACTTGAATGGACACACATAGACAATGGACTGTACAACTGATAGCAATTATAGGAGAAAATTGGTCAGTACAATCAATCAAGCTGTGATTCCAGTCAATAACCTGCTTCACTCCGTGTAAACACTGTCCTGATAGATAAACAGGCAGATAGTTTTACACATGGATTACTCACAACAGTCACTTCTGAAGAAGCGGAAAATTTTTGCAGGCTGGAAATGATGAAATTTTTGCGTTTACAAAATTAGCGAGAAGATATCTACGTAGGATTATATATATGCAATCAGTTTAATTTCCACACCCAAGAATTTCCATTTTTTCAGTATAATAAATCATTCAAACATGAGTTTCAAGAAATATCTTCCATATGAATATTATACTCATTAAACTTGGCAACTTTCCTTATTTTGGAGGGAGACCCCCGATTTCGGACCTTTAAATTGAGCATTTTCAACCTGCTAATTTGCTAAATTATTCCAATTATCCGAGATCTGACGATATCATCTCAAAGAACAGCTCTTAATATGCCATTTAAAAGCTGTCTTTCCCCTAGAGGGTACTGTACATACACACATTTTAATATGCTTTTAATTCTGAGCACGCGTAATCTCCCCCATGGAAATTTCAAAAGTTTGCAAGTCTGTGTAACTAATAAGGTATTTCACAAGGAATAGCTTCACTGATAGATATTGTTAACCTAGATGTCGGTCACTGTGTGTTTCACTGATAGATATTGTTAACCTAGATGTCGGTCACTGTGTGTTTCACTGATAGATATTGTTAACCTAGATGTCGGTCACTGTGTGTTTCACTGATAGATATTGTTAACCTAGATGTCGGTCACTGTGTGTTTCACTGATAGATATTGTTAACCTAGATGTCGGTCACTGTGTGTTTCACTGATAGATATTGTTAACCTAGATGTCGGTCACTGTGTGTTTCACTGATAGATATTGTTAACCTAGATGTCGGTCACTGTGTGTTTCACTGATAGATATTGTTAACCTAGATGTCGGTCACTGTGTGTTTCACTGATAGATATTGTTAACCTAGATGTCGGTCACTGTGTGTTTCACTGATAGATATTGTTAACCTAGATGTCGGTCACTGTGTGTTTCACTGATAGATATTGTTAACCTAGATGTCGGTCACTGTGTGTTTCACTGATAGATATTGTTAACCTAGATGTCGGTCACTGTGTGTTTCACTGATAGATATTGTTAACCTAGATGTCGGTCACTGTGTGTTTCACTGATAGATATTGTTAACCTAGATGTCGGTCACTGTGTGTTTCACTGATAGATATTGTTAACCTAGATGTCGGTCACTGTGTGTTTCACTGATAGATATTGTTAACCTAGATGTCGGTCACTGTGTGTTTCACTGATAGATATTGTTAACCTAGATGTCGGTCACTGTGTGTTTCACTGATAGATATTGTTAACCTAGATGTCGGTCACTGTGTGTTTCACTGATAGATATTGTTAACCTAGATGTCGGTCACTGTGTGTTTCACTGATAGATATTGTTAACCTAGATGTCGGTCACTGTGTGTTTCACTGATAGATATTGTTAACCTAGATGTCGGTCACTGTGTGTTTCACTACATGTACTTAAATATTTTGTGATGTGGATATTTTTTTAGTTCATCAAATTTAGAAACAAGCAGCTCATGATTTCTTCAAGATCACTAGCTACAGGTCACCCAAGTTTTTCTCATTTTCATTATAACGGTTTTCTTAATTTCCACATAACGCTGATCATGCTTTTAACATATTTCACTATGTGGATAATGTCTTTCCCAGCATTAACAATGAAAACAAGCAGCCCATTTTGCCCTTGTATTATACTTCTATCAGATCTAGATACATACAACCACAATCTTTTCTCCTTTAATATCTTCTTTTTCTAATGAGGATAATTTTAAGACAACAATAAGCATACCTACTTGCCAAATACCATCACCATGAGCTATTCAGAAAAAGTTTTTAAAGGTTTTTAACACTTTGACCCCTGTCGTCTTGAAAGTAGGTCAAGATCATTTATTTGAGGAAATTTTATAGCACTCCATGCCAGCTGGTACCTATACTGGATAAGTAGGTACTGGATAAGTATCATCACTCTGGGTCCCTAGTTATTCAGATTTTTTTCATTTTTTTTTTTACACATTTGACCTGTCCGACCATGAAAGAAGGTCAAGGTCATTTTTTATAGGCAATTGTATAGCTCTCTATCCCAGGTACCTACTGGCCAAATAATGGCCTTATATCATTAGGTTCTCCAATACTTAAGAAGAAGTGCCAGGTGAGCTTAAAAGATATGGGAACGTAGGTCAAGTTCTAAAATATCCACGATTCATGACATCAGGATGTATCTATGGAAAATAGAACCGGAAAATTCTCCTGCAAAGGGACATAATAAAATATCATTTTTATTGATAGAAAACAAATTCAGATCTAAAATTTGGCAATATTTTCAATACAAATATATGACATCAAGAATCTGATCTTTGCTAACCAAAGACAACCAGGATTTTAGCACTTTGATGGGATGAAACTGTCTCCTGAAATTGGAACTGTAATGGGAGCTAAGTTTAATGGTAGCCCATCTAAGTAGGATACTTCAGTGGGTCCAGACGGTATGCATTGAGAATAAGTCACAAGCTTTATTTGATCAAATTACACAGCCTGAGTATTCAATACACCCATTGGAACCAAGCAAGATGAATGTGTCTGTACTGAAAAACCAGTAGATTCCAGATAGGTGGTTTGGTCATACCCATAACATCACCAAACAAAAATAGGAAACAGCAAG